CCCCTTCCCGGAGCCCGTCTGGTGCCAGGCGTCTGTGCAAGTGCTCAGGCTCGTCCTGCCCTCCATCTGGCTTCAGCAAAAGCAAGTGCAAATGCCCCTGGGGCCTCCACCCCTGCCTTTCACTCACTGTTTTGTTTTTCTCTGCTTTGGCAGCCTCAAACCCTGGGCGCGCCCGCTGCCCAGCCCCACGCCTCCTTTCCACTTCGGGGCCCGACATTTCCCAGTGACAGGTCGCTTCGAGCATCGGGGTGTTCGCGCTCTTTGCTCTGTCTGAACTCACCCCTGACCCCACTGCCAGGGGACTGTGCCCCTCTGGGGAGAGGCTTTGGGCCCCACAAACGAGGAACCTGAGTCTGCACACGTCCCACGTCCCTGGCCTTGGTGCTGCAGAGCCACAACGCCACCCCGAGGCCACCCGCTTCCTGCCGTCAGAGCCAGAGGCCAGCTGTGCCGGTGCCGTGTGGCAGCACACACCCACCACCGCAAGGGTGCGGGTAAAGTGTGGGACAGGGCCCTGCGGCTCAGTGACTTAGGCCGCTCGTGGGGGTCTCTGCAGAGTACGTCTTGACTGAAGTTCTGTTTTTAAGATAAATTTGTTATTGTAGTAGTGAGTGCTTAAATTTAACATCCGTGGGGCATCACCCAGGAATTATCTCGGAGAGTAACTATGCGGGCCTCAGGCTAAGAACAGCATTTCCCATGCCCCTCCCCTCCTGTGCTCTCCTGCCAGTTAAGGGCGGCCTCTACCCTGATCCCCGGGACAGGGGACTCTGTTCATTTGTTACCTGAATCATTTTTCCGGTACTGGGGATCAAACCTAAGAGTGCTGTACCACCGAGCAACAACCCTCCCCCTTCTCTTTTCTTTTTTTTTTTTCTCTTGAGAGTCAGAATACCTTCATTCCCTTTCCGGGCAGCCAGGCGACCTCAGAGTGTCTAGAACTGCTTCTTGGTGCCGGTGGCCGGTGGCCTTGGTGACCTTCAGCATGTTGAAGCACATTGTCTTCCTCAGGGGTCCACACTTACCCACCGTGAAGTTGCCGATCTGGACGTCCCTGAAGCAGGGGGACAGGTGCACATATCCCTTTTCTTTTTTTTCCTTTTTTTTTTTTTTAATCTTTTTGAGACAGAGTCTCACTCTGCAGTTCAGGCTGGCCTTGAGCTCACTTTGTAGCCCAGGCTGGTCTCAAAATCACAACGATCCTCCTGCCTCAGCCTCCCGAGTACTGGGATTACAGGTGTGCGCCACCACGCCCGGCAACATATTCATTTTCATTTTGAGATAGGACCTCTCTTAGTTGCCGAAGCAGGGATACTACTTACAACCCTCCTGCCTCAGCTTCTCAGATAGCTTCTCAGAGTACTACAATGTGCCATGACTTCCAGCTAAAACAATTTTACCAGCTTGATTAAGATACAGTTCAAACCGGGCGTGGTGGCACATGCCTGTAATCCCAGCACTTGGAAGGCTGAGGCAGGAGGATTGTTGCGAGTTCAAGACCAGCCTGGGCTACAAAGTGAGCTCAAGGCCAGCCTGAACTGCATAG